TTGACATATCAATATTCCCAAGTGTTGATGGTTCTCTGGCATTGTAGAAGAATGCAGGTAGTCGCATCGACACAGCTGCTGGGACAATGAACTGTCAAAGCGATTTTGGAATTGAAAATGTTGAATGAAAAATTAAACAAATTTGTAAAAATTGTTGAAAAATGCATATTATAGCAACAATAAAAAAATCTACTTATTTTTGAAAAAAAAAAAAAAAACATTTTAAATTTGTTAACATATCAATATGTTCCTAAACCAAATAAATCCTAATAAGGGACTAAATGCTCAAATGTAATAAATAATAAAAATGTTTAAATTTCGGCTGAAATTTTTTTCTTTTTTAAATCGTTTTAAAATTTTGCAATTGTTAAGTAAATAGATTGTCCACGGTACAGCTATAAAGGTAATCTCATGCAATCATATGATTATTTGATATCCATTCATTGTCCCAGTTATTGATGTGTCTGATTACTTTTCCTGCAGGTACTCTCCAGCAACTTCTTTCTGAGAGAGGTAGACAATTATATTCTCTTTTGCAAAAAAAAACTTTGAAAAGTAAACAGAAGGAGTCCCTGCGAAAACTTATAAGCATTTAGCTGTTTTGTCAAAACAAAACAATTTGGCCGAAAAATGAAGGATGCAAAAATTAAAAATCCGAGGGAATTCGGATTGGGAGTTTCAAAATAAAGATGTTTTTAAGTGACAATCAATATAAATCGCTGGAAGAGAAGAAGAAGAGTTGCAAGTGATTGCAAGAAGAAATTTGTCCAGCAAGAATTTGTTAACTCTCAGTTAGCTTAGCAAACTGTCAAAATTTCTCTCTCGAATTGCTCTCTTTTGCTTTTTGTAAACAGACGACTTTCGGTAACAATTTGCAACAATTGTTACAAAGGTAACCATATATGTTGTAGTTCTTCCTTATATATGGGTGTACAACTGGCAAGAAATGCATGGTAAAATAAAGACGGTAAAGTCATTTCAAATAAGCATTCCCAGCTGTGCATTTTCTGGCAAGGTATGCCAAATTACACGGCATTGAAAACAGGTTCCCATCGCTGATTTGTGTGTCTACAATTGATACATCCATGGTACAATAAAAAGGTAAGGTAGAGCTACCAGCTGATTACAATTTTTTTACTAAGTGTGCCCGACTGTCAATTTTGTGTATGTATTTATTGTTTTGAAAAATAAAAACAACATATTTTCAAAATCAATGATAGGGAAAAACATAAATAGCGTGACGCGCATTAATGATATTAACCAAATTTGACACGGATTTGAAAGATTGAACACTAAGGATTATATTTTTGAGAGAAAATCCAGGCAGTTCATTCATCTTTCGCGCTATTTGATGCATTTGAAAAATAACCAAAAAATATCAAATAAATGAAAACAACTTGTTGGATATAATTTTAAATAATTCCGACAGGAAGCGTGCATAGCCTCAGGGCTGCATTTCTGTAGTTTTGCGAAGCTGTTCTACCTCCTTATTTGACCATGGATTTATCAATACAAATTTTGACAATGAGATGTTGTCGAATGAATAATTTTGAAAAAAAAAATGTAAACGTATGATCACATGATTTTACCTTCAATATTCTACCATGGTCCCAATGAAAAATAATTATTATTATATATGTATAAATATATTATATGTAATTATTAATATATGCCCCTCGTCATACGTAAATATTTCAGATATATGTAAAATTAAATTAAAAGGGTTGCCATATTCGATTTGCCAAATGAGTCTACATCTATCAAATTTGACAACAATTGAATCCTACAATTATCTTTGATCTCTATAATGAATTGATGTCAAAGAATTGTTATGAATAGAAAATCAAAAACTATTTATGTCATCTTTGTTAGCACAATTCTAAATTTAGTTTGATTAAGAATTTTATTGTTAAAATGGGTAATTATATCATAAACAAAGTGATTGATTTAAAAATACGTCATTATTTAATGATGCTATCAATTACCAACATAGAGTAAGAGCAAAAATGTTGTGTCGGTTTTTTTTGGTTTATATGTTATTAGAATTGGAACAACTGGAATGTGAAATAAAATAAAAATTAAATTCAATTTTATCTAATTAACTATTTACTTTAAGAATTATTGACATGTTATATTTAAGAATTTTGGGAAAAGTTTCTCCATTAGAGTAGCTACTGTATTTCACTAATACATGAAACTGCAAACCTTGTAAAGGAGTTTATTTATAGAAATTTCACATCAAGAAAGAATATAAAAGAGATTATGAAACAATATCCCAAGATTGTTATACTGAACTTCATTTTATTTTAGGTAAATGTCAAATAAGCAAAAACAACAGTTATGAAAATGTAAATTTACAATGTCCATTAAGAAATGAGAACACAGAACAAAGCGTATGGCATGTGTGTGTGTGCGTGTGTGCGCGCGCGTTTTTTATTATTTGCTTTGTTTACATTCTTTTCATTAGGCTCATTAAGGGTTTCTTATGTCATAATGGGAGGCTTGTAGGGAAACCTAAAATATTTGGTGGTAGGTGAACAAGTAAATGACAATAATGTTGAATTATCATTAAATAAATTAAAAAATTTGCTAAAAATCACTATGCATCAATAAATTACGTCTATTAAAATTTTTGGAACCGTCACAAAAGCTCATTATTTTCTGTTGCAATGTGTGCTATAATTTATCTAGTAATGTAAATGGGCTATTAGCTTAGCTTGCAGTCAGCTGTTATACAATCCGTTATATAGTGTTCACATTTTAAGTAGCATTGTTATTTGTCATATTTATGTTATGGAGTCGAGTTTAGAATCTCCTCTGTTACATTTTGCTTTATTAAAATACAAAATAGTTTTTCATTGTACTTTGTATTGTTCTCACTTATTTACATAATATTTTATATATAGTTTATTATTTGTCCACTTTATTTTCAATGTAAATGTCTCTATATTTTTTGTTTAAACGTTTCTTATTTTATAATTGCACTCACTTTCTCTTTAGCACATTCAGAGAGGAACACACACAACACAACTGTTTTATATCCAGCTACTATCGTCTAAGTTTAACAAACAACTAAAATCCTTTTAGTCACAACCACTGATATTTGTATCAAAAATTCTCAGTAGGATTTGTTGTTGTTATCCGTCACCGCTGCTGGCGCCCACTGCATTGATTTGAAAACCGTTGAATTTTTCGCCAACTACCACAACAGCAGCCTTAACATCATCATTTTAATCTTTATTATCAGACATTTTTAGTTTGTCCGGAGTATGGCAAAAAAAAAAAAAACAAAAAAGAACATAAGACGATCTTATCATTAAACATATTTGATTTGATTACGTTACCTCTGCAACGTTCTGTACTCTAGTGTTTGAGATATCAATCTGTTGCCTTACCGCGCGCCTTTTCTCCATCAATTCGCATCACCGCCATCCTCGCAGGTAATTTCTTATCTATCTTTCTATACTACACATCTCTGTAACCTCCAACGAAAAAAAAAATCAACAGCAAAATAGATTACAATTTTTTTTTAAATTTGGATACAACTTTTTGGGTAGTGCTATTTGATTTTTGCCAGTCTACTATACGACAGTAGCAACATGATAATTCTCAAGTTCATGTCATCGGTACATTAAATATTTACCCATACACATTAGATCATAAAAGATTTGAAAAAAAAATCTCGTGTCAAGAAAACCCTACCAAGTTCAGATGAAATATTTTTATATTAGGATGGATAGGAAATATGAACACATAATTTTAGGATGACCCTAAATTGGAATACCAAAGAATTCCTGTGTACTTGTGCAACGTTTGAAGTCTTTTTTTAATGCTAGAGCTCATGGTAAAAGAATATGGGTAGATGCATCAACGTTTGGGAACATTGATATGTCAAAAATATTTAAATATTTTGACGAAAAAAAGTAGATCTTTATATGTTTCGGTGTTTGTTACGATATGCATTTTTCAACCACTTTTGCCAATTTAAATAATTTTTCATTCAAAATTTTCAATTCTAAAATTGGTTTGACAGTTCAGTGCCCCAGCAGCTATGTCGATGCAACCATGGTAGAAGAATACAGTTGGATGCATGAACGCTTGGGAACATTAATATGTCAAAAAATTTTAAATGTTCTATCAAATATAAGTAGATTTTTATATGTTTTTTTTATACGACGTCATTCGGAGGTTATTATAATTCGCGTTTTTCAACAGTTTTTGCCAATTTAAATAATTTTTCATCCACCATTTTCAATTCTAAAATGGGTTTGAAAGTTCAGAGTTTAAATGTTCTATCAAATATAAGTAGATTTTTATATGTTTTTTATAAGACGACATTCGGAGGTTAATAAATTCGCGTTTTCAAAAGTTTTTCCCAATTTAAATAATTTTTCATTCAAAATTTTCAATTCCAAAATTAGTTTGACAGTTCAAAGTACTGATTTCTATTTATGACGGACTCTGCTTTGGCAGATATTTCGTCTTTGTACTTATTTTCTTATAAAAGAGAGTAAAACTGCATTAAGGTGAGAGTACAAAAGTTTTCGCCTGGCATATTTTGCCAGAGTCGCACTCAAATCCTGCCATCGTTTTTCCTTTTAATTTGACATTAAAATGCCTAGCCATGAATCAAAGCTGCTTATGTACCCTCATCTTTACACTCTCAAAATGAAACTTCTGTATAATTTCTGCAAGAAGAGAAACCAAACATTTTGGTTATTTATTTCTGGTAAAAAGATGCATTTCCTAAATTAAACAACTTTTTTCGTGTAGTCTGTAGTGAACATTGGCAAAAATGTAAATGTAAAATGTTTATAATAAATTAAAATAAATTAAGTAATAAAGTACATTAAATTATTTCTAAATTTATAATTTAAATATAACGGCAAATGCATATCAACAGTAAATTTGCCATAAACATTTTTATTTTCATTTCCTGGTTACTCTTCACAGTGGCAACACTGTTTGTTTGTAAATGTCGTCAAGCCACCGTGATTACTTGCCATAAATAAGAAGAAGACTGTATTTTCTGTGAGCTGTCATTGCCATTGTTTTTCATTGTACAGAAAAAAACGAAAAAATTAATTTCTTGGCGTTTTCCTGCTGAAAAAAGTTAAAATATATAATATTTCTACAAAATGGGAGCCTCATTCTTTCCAATTTTATTCTTTACTGCCGTATGGGCTGGAGTTGGTATTGGTTTGCCCATGATGACGCCAAAGGGGCCACATCAAAATCTAATACGCTGCACATTAATGTTAACGGGTTGTTGTTGCTGGCTTTTTTGGTTATGCTGTTACATGGCCCAAATGAATCCTTTGATTGGACCCAAACTAAATCAGCATACAATTTTCATGATTGCCCGTGAATGGGGTAACTCTTTGAAGGAAGGTTAAACAGTGGAAGGCGGAAACGTAAACATATAAAAACAGCTAATCCGAAATTTATGTACAATTAACCAAATTTACTCATTAGTTTATCTCATTTGAATTGTGTTAGTCATTAATTTTAGTTTCCCCCCTCATCTTTTCTTCTTATTTCGAAATCAATTTTTTGTTAAAAATGTATGTTATCAAAAAATAACACTTGATATATACTTTATCATTCCATGTATGTTGCCCCCTTTTGTTAGTTCAATCTATGTTCTACATATGTTTGTATGTTCTTTATTGGTTGAGAATGTATGACAATCCCCTACCCCTACTGTCCACCCACATTTAATGTCATTTCCTTTTATTTAGTGCAAATTATTAAACTTAATCGAACTATAAAGAATAAAGAAATAAAAAATCTCATTTAAATTATATATGTATTTAATTCCAACTTAATATTAAAATGTTATTGTGAAATATGTAAACAATGTTAATATGGCAGCAATAAATTACCAAAATATTGTAAAAAGGAATTCTGGTATTTTTTCAATGAAGAAACGAGGGTGTGTACGTAGAATTTGAGCTCTGACTAAGAAATATCTTTTACATTATTAACAACCACAAAAATTCCGAATTTACAAATTAAATGGAATCAGTTTTCATCATAAATTGATAGATAGGCGGACTTGTCCCTTAAATATTTCGAGGGAAAGATTGAAACCATTTAGTGGCATATTCTAAAAACATTTATTAAATAAAAAAAAGGAAAACGCCTTAGATTTTTTTAATATATTCATATTTTAGTTTATTTTGCGTAAAAAAATTATTTTAGAATTTGTTCTAAATTGAATTTGAACTTCAATGAGAGGGTCAGACTCTCATTTTGGTTTTGCTTTTAGTAAACAGTACCGGTAATGCCGGGACCATAATTGTAACCAGCACCGGCAACAGGTGGTACGTAACCGGGTGTACCCAAGGCACCCAAACCACCACCAACAATGCTGCTGCCATAACCGCCGGAATAATAGCTGGAAGGATAGCTGTTGTAACCATAAGTGCCACGACCATAAGGATAGGCACCAGCACGATAGCTGTTGTAGTATGTGCTGCCATAGGGATAACTGCCACCGGGATAGTAACCACTATAGCCTGGATAACCAGCATAGCCATCTAAAAAGGGGTAAAACATAAAAATTTAAGTTTTTTTTTGGGAGGGGAAAATATTTTGAGGTTATATTCAAATCTTGGGGATATTATTCTTAATAATATCTCAAAGGAAATGAAAGCTGGAAAGGTTTCCACAAAATATTATTGCATAACTGTAAATTTCGGAAACTTTACTATAGCCTATGACAAAAAAATACTTATGCAGCATCACATCTTTGTATAGCTTCCATATAAAAGTTTTCGTTTGAGTGGTATTTTTCGGAGGATTTTTTTCTTTTTTTTTGAAAATTGTCAAGCTCCTTCCGAATGGTGGAGGGTATAAAAAGTTCGGTCCGGCCAAACTTAGCTGCTTTTTACTTGTTTTAATACAATTACAGAAGTTACAGAATCTTGAAAACAGGTTGTCCTGGACAGAGAAATGAATCTAACATTTATTAAACACAACTTACCCAATCCCAATCTGGAGTTATAACCAGCATAACCGCCATAACCACCATAGCCGGCATAACCGCCATAACCAGCACCGCCCAGGGCTCCACTATAGGCCCCAAGACCAGCGCCATAGCCCAATGTTGTCGAATCTAGACCTCCATAACCACCATAGCCTCCAAGTCCGCTATAACCACCTACGTAACGCTTGCCTTGATGTTTTTCCGAATAAGGATTCAAACTGCTGGCCGATGCCGATAATTGATCTTGCGAAGAATTTTCTGATGCAGCAGCAATCTGATCATCTTCAGCCCTTACAAAAACAGCAAGGGAACAGGCAATAACAGCGCAAATGATCTAAAGAAAAACACACACACATACACTTTAGCATTTTTATCCTTTTGATCCCTGGCATGGGATTAACTTACAAAACACTTCATGTTGGCTTTGATTAAAAAAATGGAGATTGGCAACTGTGGTAATCCGTTCAAATTCACAAAAGCTATTAACTCTAAAACTACTAAACAGCTACTAATACCTAACTCTGGAGAGTCTATAGCTTTTATAGCCGGTCAATTCCGTTTGCCATCATCACAATATTTACTTCAAACAACTCAATGCGCGCAAAAGCATACAGCAAGAATCATTGTTCATTGAGCAGCGGCAGCTTGTACATCAACAGCTTGCAAATAGCTGTTACTAGCTAAGCCACTTGTTAAGGGCCGGACAGACACCATTGAACAATGACCATTCAGTAAGGCAACCCAACGATGTGTATAGAATCTTATTTTGTGGTGAGTAAACAACATTGTTGTATGGATGGTATGACATGGTGGGGGATGTACAACGCTAGCAATTCACTGCAACAGGTGAGAGTGGCTAGCTAGGCTTTTGCCAGTAGTTTCTGAATTATGAATCAACCTCAATTTTTTTACGGGCAATAAGTTTTGAAAATCGTTTTTGATTTGTTATTATGCTCTAATGTTACAATATTGAAATATAGATTACAGGGAGTGGTTTAAATTATCATAAATTAAAGGAATTATTGTAAATAATTAGTTGGGAATGTAATTATTTAATTGATTCCATTACTGGATGTCAGTAAATTTAATAAAACAAATAAAAATTCTCAAACTAACATGGTTTTAAGTTAAAGTTGCCGGGGTGACAATAATAAAACTTTTCTCATAGATTTAATGAAACATATCAAAATATTAGATAAGTATATGTTAAAGGAAGATGTATACCCCCAGCCTTGAATTAGGATTATTCAAGCTGTTGACCCTTTATGGGTGAGGTTCCGAATCAGTTGGCCAATATTTACTGATTCGTATCTGAGAGTATAAAAATCGATGTTGATTTCTATCCCAATAATGCATTTTGGAAGGAAACTCTAAAATTCCCTACAAACATTGCCGAAATTTCAATTAGCTATAAGTCCAAAGGAAACCCAATATTATTCTCTCCAGTCGTAGGCAAGTAGAAGTGTTTACCATAAAAAAACTTCACAATTTGTAAGCATCCATACTAAATTTTAAGTAGAACATTTCAAATTGATCTGATTAGATTTATTTGTTTATTTTGCAAGACATTAAACTTAAATTGTTATTTTAATTATATCCAATAACAACAAAAACAGCAACAACAAGCGAAAATGTGGTGCATGTACAACAAACCCCATAATTAAAGAATGCAATTAAAATGATTCAGTGTTGGTTTAGAGTATTGAATATAAAATGTCTCATTTGGCAGGCGATTCAATGAATTCCGAAAAAAGTTAGACTATTTTTTTTAAATGAATAACATATTTTAATTTATGTATTGCAGATTTCATATAAAAATGTAAATAAAGAATTCTTTATTTAGATTTTTAAAAGTCTAACAAATTTCTAACAAGTCTTCATTTTGAGGTTATGTTAAGAAGAAATACCCAAATTAAGACCTTAAAACAGCAATTGATTACGAACATATTCTGAATATTGATAACCCCTACTCATATCAAATTTGAACCTCGGCCAGCTGCAAAAAACGTTTTTTATTCCTTTATCTCAATTAGATTTTGGTTTTACATTTAAACATCTTGAGCCAGATATTTGTTTATTCACTTCAAATGAGATTTCCCCCCAAAAAAATTAACACTTTTTAAAAAAAGTCATAGACTAAACGGTTAGTTTCATTATTTTTGGCTACAAATACAATTATCTTCCCGAAAAAACAATTCACCGCCAGATTTTTGTTTGACTACCTTTGATGAGTGCTGGCGGTGGTGTTACAAACGATTTTATTGTATGACAATTATGCGAAACAAATTGTTGTTATTGTTGTTGCTATTTTTAGTATTAGTAGCAATAGTTTTTTTTTTGTTTCAATGAGAGTTCAAGCAACGCCTAAAACATGTTAAAATTTCTCATTCGAAATCTATGGCAATAAGTTAAGGGCATCGGGTAACCATCAAAAAAATACCCCGGTCGTATAAACAAACCAAAAAAGAAGCCAACATTTTTTAAAACATGAACAGCTAACACATTTGTTGAAAAACAATTGATGTGAAAATCTTTTGGTTATTAGTTAATAACTTTAATGGAGGGTGGTATAAAGAAGTAGGAAAATACGATTGCAAATTAATAGTCGGATTAAACCTACAAATATAAGAAGTAATTTTGATGGTATTCATTATTGATCTGTTCCACAACCAGCAAGATTTTTTGTTTTACCACAAAAACCTTGCTTCTCTTTATTATATTGAAAAAATAATATAATAGAATAATATTTAAGCTTATTTCGGATCTTTGCACATATGTAGTATGTACGTATATTATCCACTGACATTTGCATTCCCCAAAATATACCAAATTTAATAGAAATACCTCTTAATATACATACTTGCTCACATAAATTTAACTATTACTGCCACCAGCACCCCCATTTTACAAATTGAGGTTATGTGAACGAAGTGCGGTCATTGAATCAGGTAATACTTCAAAGCAAAAAAACAAAATAAACCAAAAAGGAAAAGTCAAAAGTCGGGCGGCGCCGACTGTATGATACCCTACACCGCTATTCATATTTAGTAGAGTTCCCGTACCAAAATAATTAATTTCAAATAGGTTATAGCACCTATCAACATTTGGCTTTAGAGCAGTTAAAGTTTGGTTTCAGAGGGAACTAATATATTTCGATCAAATTTGGCAAAAGTATTTCCGAGCTCCATAAGATATCTGGTACCAAATATCATTGTTGTCAAATGCATATTACGGATGTTAGGGACTTAAACATCAAATCGAATGAAACATATATAAGGGAGCTATAGCTAGATCTGCACCGATGTTCACCCAATTTGATGTACTTGCTTCTAGACTGAATTCGGTGGGATGTACCAAAATTCAGGACCTTTGGACTTATGTTGGCCATTTGGGGCACAATATAAGGCAAATCGGACGAAGATATATATGGGAGATATATCCAAATCTTAGCCGATCTCGCTAAAATTTTGCAAGGGTATTTCCGAGCTCTATAAGATATCTGGTACCAAATATAATTGTTGTTGAATGCATATTACGAATGTTAGAGACTTAAACATCAAATCGGATGAAGCATATATTTGGGAGCTATAGCTATGTCTGAACCGATTTTCACCAAATTTGATGTACTTACTTCTAGACTGAATTTGTTCGGATGTAGCAAAATTCAGGTCATTTGGACTGACATTGGCTATTTGGTGCACAATTAACCCGAAATCGGTTGAAGATATATATGGGAGCTATATCCAAATCTGAACCGATCTTGATAAAATTTGGCAGAGGTATTTCTGAGACGTATCTGACATCTGGTACCAAATATCAATGTTGTCAAATGCATATTACGGATGTTAGGGACTTAAACATCAAATCGAATGAAACATATATAAGGGAGCTATAGCTAGATCTGCACCGATGTTCACCCAATTTGATGTACTTGCTTCTAGACTGAATTCGCTGGGATGTACCAAAATTCAGGACCTTTGGACTTATGTTGGCCATTTGGGGCACAATTAATCCGAATTCGTTTGAAGATATATATGGGAGTTATATCCAAATCTGAACCGATCTCGATCAAATTTGGCAAAGGTATTTCCGAGCTCCATAAGATATCTGGTACCAAATATCATTGTTGTCGAATGCATATTACGAATGTGAGGGACTTAAACATCAAATCGGATGAAACATATATATGGGAGCTATAGCTATGTCTGAACCGATTTTCACCAAATTTGATGTACTTGCTTCTAGACTGAATTTGGTCGGATGTACCAAAAGTCAGGACATTTGAACTAATATTACACATTTGGTGCACAATAAAAGGCAAATCGGATGAAGATATATATGGGAGCTATATCTAAATTTTGACCGATTATCTCAAATTTCAATGGGGTTCGTCCTTGGATCAAACAAATGATTTGTGCAAAATTTTATCTAGATCGGTCAATAAATGCGACCTGTATTTTGTTTACAAAAAATACATGGACAGACAGACGGACATGTATAAATCGACTCAGAATGTGATTCTATGTAGATCACCAAAAGTAACTATGGGCCTACCTCATTTCCTTTTGCCTGTTACAAAGAAATGCTCAAAGACATAATACCCCGACCACCTTGTCCGTGTAGGGTATAACAACTAACAGAGACAACTCAAATATTGGGTCATCGTGACTTTTAACAGATTTTGTTGTCTTCAAATTCATAAAACAATGCGTTTTTGATAAATGTTCCCAACTGCCGGTAATTGAAAACGCTTAAAAGAATAGATAGACTACTGTTTAATGGGTTCTTCCTATGATTTTTCCGCCAACAATCGAAAACTCGTATTTAAAATTCCAAAAACCCAATAAGGAGTTGTGACCATTTTAAAGTTTCTATTAATTCACTCTTGAAAAAGTGATCACAAATAATAGCTAAAAGCGCCGAACACCCAATATTTAAGGAGTTATGGCCATTTTAAAGGTTCTGTTAATTCACTCTTAAAAAGTGATCAGAAATAATAGCTAAAAGCGCCGAAAACCCAATATTTAAGGAGTTATGGCCATTTTAAAGTTTCTGTTAATTCACTCTTAAAAAAGTGATCATAAATAATAGCTAAAAATGCCGAAAACTCAATATTTGAGGAGTTATGGCCATTTTAAAGTTTCTATTAATTCACTCCAATCGTTTCTAAAATTAACATCACTTTTATTGTACCTCTTTTTCTAAACCAAACGATCCCATTTTCTATGTAAATAACAGGTAATAATAATAAATTACAAAAAGAAATAAAAAAAACAAAACAAAAATTTCAAATCCCAATCTCTTAATCTCAATTCAACTTCAAAGATATTTTTTAGCAAAAATTTATTTATGTTATTACATTTGTTGATGTTTAACATCAAATCGACCAATTGTCCGGCACACATGCTTACAACCCACAAGCTGCGGCAGTCGTTCGGTATGAGATTGACTGTGTGACATATGTGAATGTACTGCTGTCTAGCTTAAAGTATCCATTGTGTTTTTGGTTGATCCCCAGCCCTGTTTTTTTTTTTTTTCTGGCTAATATTTATGTTTATAACATAATTAAGTACCGATTGAAATCATCAACATCATCATCATTGACGGCATCAAGATCACAGCTACATATATATAGCTAGTACGTCAATGGCTAGGTAATCATCAAATCACATCAAGATTTGCGTTTTGGAGCTTTGGATTAAAAATAGGAAAGAAGGGCGGATTTCTTAAAGGATGGCCAAATATTTTTTGAAAATAATCCTTTAAATGGCAGGTTTCTTAAAGGATGGCCATATATTATTTGAAAATAATCCTTTAAATTTGTTAACATCTTCTTTCTTCTAAAAAATTACATTAGTTAGCGACATTTAAGGGAAGAATCTCTCTTACAACAGATTTTCATTAGATACTCTTGCCAGTGTAGCCTCCTTTATGAGGACGTATGGTATAGAAATGATAATTGAAATCCACTTAGGTTTCTAGATTCATAGTTTTCTTTAAGTCGTCTTATAGTAGTTTTGGAAACTTATGACCTACTTATTCTGTATTTCAGAGCCTAAGGCAGACTTTTGTTTGATAATTTTATTTTAGCTCCTAAAAACACTGGCATCCTTCAGCACAAGCAAAAGACGAATAAGCAGCGCAACAAATGGAAATCAGCTAGAAATGTGGAATTGGAAGGACGTATTTTTAAAGGTGTGTTCTTCCACCAACTGTGAAAGTAGTCAGCAATTTGTTTTTTTCAAAAATCGATGGGATCTCCTGAAGGTTTTCACAGTTTTATATGGAGTCACCAACTAGGGATCAACTGTGAAAGTAGTCAGCAATTGTTTTTTTTTTTTTTCAAAAATCGATGGGATCTCCTGAAGGTTTTCACAGTTTTATAGTTTTATATTGAGTTACCAACTGGGGACAAACTGTGAAAGTAGTCAGCAATTGCTTTTTTCCCAAAAATCTATGAGATCTCCTGAAGGTTTTCAGAGTTTTTTTTATCGAGTCACCCCGAGTCAATGACCTCACCGTTGCATGCATGCCATTTTTAATGGCAGGTTTTGATGAAATAATTTAATTTGCATCAAATTTCTCTGTAGGAAAAATACCAAATTTGACATTGACCAAAGTGAAGGTTTTTGCAGTGCAACAACATACATATGTCTGTAGTGTGTGAGAGGAAAATGTGTCCATTGTTTGGGCTAAAAAAACATACATCATAGGTAGAAATTGTGGGAACGTCTAATGCTTTGTTCTTCGTTTTTATTTTTTTCTTATTGTTCCAATGTCGTTGATGTGGAGACACTTGATTGTTTGAAGGTTAAATGCAATGTTTTCCACCAGCTACAGGGTGAGATAAAAAACTGCAACAAAGTCAAACGCCATAATTTTTAAAAAATTTTTAAATTTAAATAAAAGCAAAAAATGTCGGAAATATCCCCAAATTTTAGAAAAAGTTTAGATTTCTGCGAATTGGTCACCTTTGCCACTAATTATGGCCTTCAAACGGCCAATGAAACCATTACACGTTGACCGAATGTTGCTCTGCGGTATTTTGGCCCATTCCCGGCGAAGCACTTGCTTGAGGTGATCGACACTTTGGTATTTTTTTAGTGGCACGAATTATGGCCTTCAAACGGCCAATGAAACCGTTACACGCTGCCCAAAGGTTGATCTGTGGCATTTTGGACCATTCTCGGCGAAGCGCTTGCTTGAGGTGATCGATACTTCGGTATTTTTTAGTGGCACGAATTATGGCCTTCAAACGGCCAATGAAACCGTCACACGCTGCCCGAATGTTGCTCCGTGGTATTTTGGCCCCTTCCCGGCGAAGCGCTTGCTTGAGGTTATCGACACTTTGGTATTTTTTTTGGTGCCAATCTTGCTTTCTAAAATACTCCAGACACAATAGTCCAATGGATTGGTATCCGGAGATTTTTGTGGCCATTGTGCGCTGGGAATAAAGCGAGCAGAACCAATTTTTGTAACCATTCTTGGGTGGCGCGTGCTGAGTCCTGTTGGAATATCCAAGGTCTGCGGCCAAAAAATTTTTGCGGGCCCAAGGCTTTAATACACCCTGCAGAATATTTTCGCGATAATATTCGGCATTTTTTCTGATGCCACGGTCGATTAATACGAGCGGAGAGCGACCATCGGCTGTTATGGCGGCCCACACCATCACCATGACCGGCGCTTGAGTTCTGGTGGCCAACCGAAGGTGCACATTTTCAGCTGACCTCCTCTTTGGCAAGTAAACACGATAATTTTGTTTATTTAGAAACTGCTGGACAATGAATGTTTTCTCTGATCGGAGAAAACAAAATTCGGCCAAAGGAAGCAATTCCTTTTTGGAATTTCAGTGGCTTTACCCCGAGCTCATTTTTCAATATTTGCCGAATGGAAAATTGCGATATATTCAGCTCATGAGCCATTTTTTCGGCCACTGCGACGCGGATTTCGCTGAAGTCGCTTTTTTACTTTTCCAACCGTTTCTGCTGATGTTGCTGTTGATATTCTTCCGTCCATTTCCTTAACGTGGGCGGTCTACGCTACCCGTATCACTGTAACGAGCGATGGTACGAGACACAAAAGATTTATTCACATTTAAATGCTGAAGTGCTCCAACGATAGCCCCTCGTGGTTTTCCAGCCAAATATAAAGAAATCACACTATCACGCTTGAATTCCATCATCACGAATAACTTTTTTTCGGAAAAATTCTCACCAAAATGCTTTTGTACACTCGTAAACAATATAATGAGCTGTCACTGGAATAATTTTAGTAGCTGTCGGACGAGTGGCTTAGAAATGACAGCAGTAGAAATGACAGCACCCCGTATTAATGATTTTCTTAGCAAATGTGTAGTAATAGCTTTACATATTGCATAACCAGCAAAAATGTTTGGTTTCAGGACCCAGACGTAATCAAAAATCTAAAACAATAATGAACAGAATCCTGTAAAAAAAAAACAATATTGACGTAGAAAAGCCCGCTTTAGACCAACTATACCTGGATTTTTTTTTTCTAAAACTCCCTTCATTAACAAATAAATACTACTTTTCCATTTTGGTTTTGTATATCAATATTTTACTTATGTGTTCTATGTCTTATATAAAAAAAGAGAAACTACTTTAATAAATAGATATTGAGTGGGGTGAAAAATGCATTGACACAGATACATAGTATGTATGTGGGGGGAGGGGGGCGGTTTGGTTTGTTACTTACAAAACATTCATTGTAATACAAACTAATATCTATATTTTGCTTTATAAGTATGACTTAATGACAAAACCTAGCATTAAGAAATTATTCCCTGGCATATTTTCTTCTCATACAAAATATGCATCCAGTTGGGCCATTTTATCTTTGGGTTGCCTTGAGCCACCGCGTCCACCACGACCGCTACCACCACGGCCAGGTTTACCACCACGACCGCCACGCGTACCACCGCGGCCACTGCGTATATTTACAGGACGTGAGGCCACTGCACGATGTTTCTCCACCAGATTGGTGAAATCCGTTGAACAGAAGATACAACCAGATTTTTCCTCCGAGCCGTCTTTAAATTTCGTTTTATCCGATTTATACACAACATTGACGGTTTGGGCGCCACATTCCTCGCATTTTTCATCTGAAATATAAAAAACAAAAGAAATTAAGATCATCCAGAGATTATGCTCTAATTAATCTTACCTTCCACCGTAATCTTGGTGGCCCCCTTAAAGCAATTAATTATGACATCACATCTATTGCAACCAACCTTCCAACTGGGCGCCAGCGTACAGTCAAGTACCAAAACTCCATGTTCACATTCCACACAGCCCGATATGCCCAAGGTGTTCTGCGAATGCGGGCAGGTGGGATGTGTACACGAGTTACAGCCGGCATTCTTTGGCATATCCCTGAAGGGAGGATGATTGTAACAATAGGGGCAAAAGGGATATGAACGCCCCTTGGCCCCGGTGGTAAATGCCAAAAGTTCAAAATCGTCCAACGGGCATTTGAATTCACGATAAACCTTGACATTACCACCATTAGGCAGGGAATAGGTTTCATCACACTGAGAACAATGAAGGCGGGCAGGTTTAGATTGTATGTATTTCATGTAGCGGCGACATTTGCCGCAACGTGAATGGGATTTCCCCGATTCGGCCAGGGGTGAAAAGGAGACCTCGAACAGGCTATCCATATTGGAGATATTTTTAACAAAATACAAAAACTTCAAACGGAATATTTCGATGGCATGTTTGAGTACGGCATGGAAGTCCGCGGAGCCTTTTGAAATCAGATTTAACATTTTTTCCACCTCCGAACGCATGGTGGGCAATACCAGCTCAGGATCGATCTGAAAACAAGTTAAGATTAATAGCTGATTTTTAAAAAGAAATTAGCTTTTCCCTACCTTTTGATAACCGTGCACCAGAACAATACCCAGTGTGGTGGGTATGAGTTTACGCCCACTCTCTATGGTCACATAGTTCCTTTGACATATATTATTGATATGCACCGGTATAGAGGCATCCGTACCAATGCCATGTTGTTCCATAAGCGTAATCAATTCAGCCTCGGTCAAATAATCGGGAGGACTTGTTTGACTTTCGGCCAAGCGTACATCGTTTATGGTCACCTTTTCACCTTGGCTAAATGTGGGTACTGCCTCATCACGACCAAATGCCAGCCATGTCATGACTTTGGTAAAACCGGGATCAACCAAGACATTGGCAGTGCAGGTGAATGTTTCGGTGGCAACTTTCAGTTTTACGGTTGTGGCGCGATATTTCAGATCCTTTGAAATGGTACCCAAGAAATGGCGACATATAAAATCATAGACACGCCAGGTGTCACGATCGAAATCGTTGCGTGTGGCCAATTTCATGGGGGTAATGGGAGGATGGTCGCCGCAGTCCTTGCCCTTGCGCGGTGCATTGAAGTCAGCCAATATGGCATGAGCCTCGGTACCAAATTCCGAAGAGGGTTTGAGTATGTGAAGAACGGCGCTGTAAAGTAAAGAAATTTATTAGAAAATTCCTTTCTAAAAAGCGATTTGGACTCACTTTAAGTCGAAATTGGCTGGATACTGATTTGTTTCGGTACGCGGATAACTGATATAACCCTGGGTGTAAAGGCGTTCAGCAATTTGCATGGCCTGAAAGGGTCCAATTCCCAAACCTGAACTACAAATTCTCATAAGTTCCACGGTGTTCAAGGCCTGGGGACGTACCCGGCTTTGTTCCTTGGAGCAGACGCTTTCAATGCTATTCAACGCAAAGGGAGAATAAATTAAAAATAATTTCCATCACTGATCTTCGCATTACTTACAGCCCCTCCTTTTGATTCTTTACCAAATTCAGCAGCATTGTGGCAATGTCCTTCTTGAATACCCTTCCACGATTCCATTCAAACGAAAACTCCGGTTGACCCGCCGTCAGCTGTAAATACCAAAAACTTTCCGGTTTGAAGGTTTGTATATCATCGTGCCGTTTAACACAAAAACCCAATGTGGGTGTCTGACATGGACCGTAGGAGATTAGCGAGGAATCCAAATCACCATAACGTCCCTGAAAGAATTTCGTTTGAAATCTGGTAAAGGCACAACCAATACGTAAATCCAATTCCTGGCGGGCATCCACTGACTTGGCCTCATTCTCATTGGGATAACCCAATGAGTTCATGGCACCCTTAATATCTTTTTCCGTAATGGCGGAAAAATGAGCACGATACGTAACATTGCGGCTATAAACATTGTTTATAACACGCGATACACACTCCATGACTTCGTAGCAAATATTTTCGCCTTCCTTGTCGCAATCGAGCCATAGCACCAAGTAATCACAACCCCTGGCCTCATTGGCCAAAAAGCTGGGCATATGCTGTTTCGGATTGGCCTCCTTTTTCTCCGTCGGACAACCAAACAATTCTGCCGGGTCGACCCGGTCCCATGAGTTGTATTTGCCAACAAAATCCAATGACATTACATGGCCACACACCGATGTCATGCGAAACAGGGCCGGCGAACCCTTAAAATCACCATTCCATTCATGTGTGGAACATGAATTGGAGGTGCCTGGAAATCAAGATTGAGAGTTATTAACAAAATCTCTAAACTATTGTTTAATGTTTTCTTTGCATAATGACATCACTAACTAATATTAACCTTTTTTCGCATGACTCTTTCCATTCGACAAGATTTGCGCCAACGATGCTGCCAAAGATGGCTTCTCCGCCACCATCAACACTTTCTTCATTATGCCTGCGACAATATTACGGCGGTAGTATTATTTATACAAATAAATTGTTTAATTTAATAATTTAATTTTCTATGTTTTGGATGTGTATTTTTTGCCAGAAACACCACCAGACAAACGAAGCGAAACGTTTATTTTTTCTGGCAGCGGCGGCTTCTCAGGTGAGAATCAATTGACGGCGGCACGCTGTGCTTTGTGTGTACTCTGTACTACAGCAACACAACAATTGTGGTGCTATTTACATCAGGCAAGTTTACTTTCGAAAAGTCTCTGTTTTGTTGGGGATGGGGTAATAGTATGTCCGAATTTATATCGGGCAAGCTTAATTCCGCTTGTTCGAGAGAGGATAAATGTGAATAGAAATGAGGAAATGCTCGTACTGGCAATTCCCCTTGTGTCTTTATTTTTATATAAAAATAAAATTAAACCAGTAAGGAAAGGTCAAAAGTCGGGCGGGGCCGACTCTATGTTACCCTACACCACTAGGCGTATTTAGTAGAGCTTCCGTAACAAAAGAATTTATTTCAGGTAGATCATACCACCTATCAACATTTGCCTTTAGAGCAGTTATAATTTGGTTTCAGAGGAAACTAATATAAGGGAGGCATATCGAATTCTGAATCGATTTTCACTAAATTTGAGACATTTCAATCTTTTATTCCAAATAACATTGCATGATATCACTTCGAGAAGAATTTTATTAAACAATGTATATCGGCGCCGATTTCCAAATGCAAACGTACGTCCCGAAATTCGTAAACCTGAAATGGGATTAAGGATATATTTGGGATTTCTCCAAATTTGATGTACTTGCTTCTAGATTGAATTCGTTTGAATGTACAAAAAAATCAGGACTTTTTGACAGATATTGGCCATTTGGTGCAAAATTAACCCGCAATCGGTGGAAAATATATATGGGAGCTATGTCCAAATCTGAATAGATCTTGATAAAATTTGATACACTTATTTCAGAGCTGTACCTGATATCTAATACCAAATATCTTTGTTGTCGAATGCATATACGAATGTGAGGGACTTTAATACGAAATCGCATGAAACCTATATATGGGAGCTATAGCTATATTTGAACCAATTTTCACTATATTTGATGTACTTTCTTCTAGACTGAATTCGGTCGGATGTGCCAAAATTCAGGTCATTTGCACTAATATTGGCCATTTGGTGCAATCCCAAAATTTCTTGTAAATTATCAAAAATTCTCCTTTTCAAAGACCCAACCCTGACGAACAGCATTATATTACAAAATCAATGTTATTGTCTTTACATACATATTTATTTTAATAAAAAATATCTATTGTTCCTATATAAAAATAATATAGTTTACAGAATATTCTTGCAGCAGATCCATACGATTATTTAATGAAATATGGAAACAACTTATTTTTTTAAATTACATACAAATATTATAGAAATTAAAAACAAACTAGTAAATTTTGGGGGGGGGGAAAAAAAGGGATTGTAAAAATTACGATGAATCTGAATCATTTCCATTTTGTTGGGAAAATCCTATTCCACCGTTAAGACCCTTTGATGCCGCCTCCAGTCGTTGAAGTTTCTTTTGTTTTTTTAATTTTCTCGAATCATTGGCAGTTTGTTGTTTACGCTTTTGGGCTGTGGCTGCGGATTTCTTGGATTCGTTGGTATGTTTGCCATTGGCAGTATTATTTTGCTCTTCTTCCTCCTCCTCATCGTCATCGTCCGCCGATGATGCACTACCTTCTGATTCGGAAGAACTTTCTTTTTCCCCTTCTCCATTTTCTTTTTGTTGCACTTCAGTATTACGTATAACATTAAGCTTAAAGGCCCCACAGAAACGCTGATAAACATGCGTGGACTCCAGACGTATTAATTTCCTTAGATTTTGTAAACTGCTGAGAGTTTCGTCTGTGGTCAGAAGGGAGCTTGTGCCCAAACGTTGATGAGCCTTTTGCACATTTATTATTAATTCCAACAATGTTTGGAATTCTTTGGGTGATTGTTTAAGGGATTTATTTTGTGTCAGCGCCTGGATATGTGCCTTGAGCGTCTTTTCAATTTTCTTAAAACGTTTTTTGGTCTCATCTTCATTTTGTTTTTGTAGCTCATTGTTTTTGTACAGTATGGAGAGTATTTCATAGACTTGTATGCGACGGAAAGTACGTGCCTCTAGATTTATGCCCTGCTGGGTAAGATCTTCAGCCAGATCGTAGTTGTGACACCATCGCAATTTGAAAATATCCGAAAGCAGAGTTATATTTATTGTGGGATTACGTGACTTGACAAATTCTTGGACATACTCCCGGCAGAGGGCAAGAATTTTATGCGTTTGTCCATTGGCATTGATTTTGTAGGCATTTCCAATGAGGAAGCAACAACACTTGTTGCGCATCTTATTTACAATCTCAAAGACTGGGGCGGGTGCCTTCTTGTCAATAACCAATCGTAGGAAATCAACAAAATTCTCTTCTTTGAGATCCTTATCGGTGTTGGTGTAGTTCTTTAGAGCAGTTAATTTGAGAAGAGTCTTCTCGACTTTACTTTGTAGGGGCTTCAGCTCATCGCCCACACAATATTCCAACATATTGTAAAGGGCCAACATAATTTCAATGGAAATCAACAGAGATGGTTTGTGTTGCAAATAGATTTCCAAAAGATCCAGAACACGTATACGGAAATGCATAACCGTGGTGGTTTTGACACGATAACTTTTTGATTTTTTCGTTTGAGAAGAACCGGTCTTCTTCATGGCCTTAAAAGCATTTGCCAGGGCCTCATCCAACTTGCGGCCTTCCTCTTCGGTCATATCATTTAAATCTACCGATTCCATGTCGTCATCGACTTGGGTGCCACTGGCAATCAAGGCTTGGGAGACTGCATTGCGTAGTTTGTCGATTTCTGTAATGCCTTCTTCATCATCTTCCTCCTCCTCCTCGTCATCATCCTCATCGTCGTCTTCTTCATCATCTTCGTCCTCTTCCCCATCGTCATCGCTATCCTCATCGTCTTCCTCACTTTTTTGTTTATTTTTACCATTTGCCTTAGGTTTCTGCTCTTCTTCATTTTCACTATCATCATCGTCGTCGTCCTCGTCATCATCTTCTTCCTCCTCATCTTTGCCAGTCAATGGATTTTGGCCATCCTTCATATCCAAAACACCCAATATCTGATGCACTGCTGTCAATGTCAAATTATCACACAAATGGGGAAACAAGGCATTGACAATATTGCGAAGGGCTCCATTATTTTGGGACAACAAATGCAGGAACAAGTCCACCACCACCTCAATCCATTCGGGTTCTTCACCGCCTTCACCTCCCTCCAATGACTTTTTGGATTTCTTTTTATTTTTACCAGCCTCCTTTGTTTTGGCCATACATTTCAATAAATCTTCTACGGCAGGGGCTGCCATCTCTGGCTCACGGAACAACTGGAGACCCATGTTCAACAACAGAATATTGAATACACTCTGTAGCTTGTTGTCCTTGGAAGCTTTCTTCTTGTTATTTTGACCTTCTGACACAGCTTCATACATTGAACGCCATGCTTTTTGCAAAGCCTCATCGAATTTGGTTATGCGTATACATTTATTTGCCTGCTTTTGGGCCAACTTCTCTTGGCAGTATTGGGCCAAATTGTACAACAATTTCTGCTCCTCATCGATGTCATGGAGTTTAGTCTGCAAACAGGTAAAGAACATGTTTTTACATTGATCCGCAAAGTCTTTACTAAACGAGCCGGCCGTTTCTTTTTTACAAATCTCTGCCAAATCTGTGACATAGAACACACCACAAGTGAACAGAAATTTCAATTGTTCTTCCCTCCATGCATAGGCATTGTGTACGGATTTGTGTTGCAACAAATATTGCAACATATAGCCAGCATTCAATCTTTCAAAATTAAGCCAAGTTTCGGAAGAATTTTCGGGATTTTTGGCCAACGTTCCCAAGAATATACTTTTGTATAATTTGAAAATCTCCTTGACACCCTCCTCGCCCAGCGTATTAATCAGCTGGTGGACAATGCGATTGCCGGTGAATTTCTCAATATTAAATGTACCAGGTGGCAGAATTAAACGTTGTATTATTGCTACTTTATCGCCGTCCTGAGTGATTTTGCCACAACATTTCACCAACGATTCCAAGAAATCACCATAGAATGCCTTCAACGTTTCATCCTTTTTCTGTTTCAAATTCTTCAAGCCCTCAATGAGCATTTGCATGAAATTTTTACCCAACAAATCGTGCACCTTGGTCTTTGTCACATCCAAATTATCCATGATGTCAGTGAGAATTTTCAGTGTTTCAATTTCCACCAATTTGGTGGGATTTTCCAAACCAGCATCAACAGTTTCACGCCAAAATGTTGTTAAATTTTTCGATGTTGCTATATATGCTCCAAAATATTCAAATGCCGGGTGAGTTAGAATGTCCGTATTGCTGTGAACCCAAAATATTTTATGTAAATATTGGAAGGATTCGGAATTTAGCAGTTCGGCACCTCCGAAATGGGCTTTAAGAAATTTGGCATTCAACACGGTGGGGAATTTCTTTTGCAATACTATAATACAGTGTATGGTTTGGAGATTTTGTTTCGTCCATGGCCTGCACAGTTCCTTTTGTACCAGAGGCCATACGGCGGATTCAAATTGCTCTTGTGATAACTGAAAGTAGAGAAAAAAATGAATATATGTTAAAAAAATGAGTAAAATTGATGAAGTTGCACTTTTTTCTAAAGAATACCAGGAGGGACTACTTGGGAGCCATCCACTTAGTTAGGGATGCCCCTGTGATTTGAATTATATTCATTTCCTTCCTTTCCCCTTTCCTTTTCAATTGGCATTGAATTAAATATTTTCTTTCAGCTTTTATTTGTTTTTTTTTTTTACAATAATCAACGAATTTATTTTCCCGCCATTTTTAATTGTCATATACTTTTTACACATTTCCTTTTGCAAATGCAATGACCGCTTACGCATGAGTAGTGTTAAGAGAATTTCAATTTCATCTCTCAATGGCATTCATATACAAGAGAGTAAGTTATGTTTGTTATTGTTTCTATCTCACACACTACAATGTAGAGGTTTTGGGGCATCATATCTCCATTGTTGGGGGGTTGGTTTCTTATGAAAAAAAAAAAAAAAACATTTTTACAGAAGAGAGTTATGAAGAGGAAACCGGGAATTTTCTCACAGAGAGAACGTGCAAAACCCCCCAGAGAAGCAATGTTCTTTAAATGTGACATGATAATAAAGAAAGCAAAGGGTATTAACTTGCAAGCAATTGCTATCAATTTAAAAAGAATAAAATTAAATAATTCAAACGACAAACTTCATTGTCCGTACAAAAGGTATTACAAATTATTTGCATTTATAAAATTCGAATGATACAATATTTAATGAAAATAAAATGTGTGTGAAATGAAGGCGCCATGGGAAGAAGTGTGGAGGAAAAGAAAAAAAGACAATTGGCGCCTAATATAAATTCATGAATGAATGAATTCCACATTAGGCACAACTGAAGAATTCCAAATCAATTTATTTTTAAATACAATCATTGTCGAAACAAACTGTAAGGGATAAAGAATTTGTCATTAAAAGAGCTTATAAATTATTGGTATATTCCAGAATTGCAAGAATGTAAAAGTTTTTACGACGATAACCGAGTTTTCCATTGTGCAGGTTCTGGAACAGAGCATGGAAAAATGGAATTAAAGGTCCTGAGAATAATAAGGCTATTTTAATTACTAATGTCCTTATTTTTATTTGGATATGAAATATTCCCAGGTGATGTGATCTCCCTATTTCCTTAGACCGAATTCTTTGAAAGATGATACCTATTTTAAGGTTTTTATATTCCGTTATGGTGACACCCAACATGGTCTTATCAATTGCTACTCAACATATAAAATGGAACTTTGCCTCACTTTAGGGGGAGAGTCAATAAAATGTGCAGAGAGGGAGAGTTTATCATGTCACCAATGAAAAGAGAGGAAGTGCAGAGCATAAAAAACAAAGCACCGGCAACGGAAAATAAACACCGCAGCACTCAGTTGTCACCATTCATTCAATAAGTTTAGAAGAAACGATAAGATGGAACAACGCGAAACTAACAAACAAGCAAGTTAAAAAATTCAAAAATTTACAACAAACTCAATCACCCATAACAACAATAAAACAATACTTAAGTGGCCAGCTATCTATAAAGTTTAAAAAGATTAGCAACAAAACCCCCAGCAATAATTTCAATAAACCAAAGATCAAATAAATATTGGCCAATCATTAAGAAGGAAAACAAGTTTTTTGAGCTTGGAAAATAACACAACAACAACAAAAATTGTAAAATATGTCTTATATTGCCGCATTGGATGTGGGAACCACAACGGTGCGCTGTTTTGTGCTCAATGAAAAATGTGAAATTAAAAGTTGTTCCGTGGAGCAGGTGAGAACTGGAACATGTGCTGCGCCATGAAAATTTATGAATGAAAATTTACGCTTCTCTTGTTCTTCTGCCACACATACAGGTGCAACTGTTGAATCCCAAGGCGGGTTATTTTGAAATAGAACCAGAGGGCCTGTGGCAGCAAATTGTAAGGGTCATACAGAATGCTCTTAAAGGTGAGTGAGTTGCAAAATTTTGAATTAAAAAAATTTGATTTATCCTCTCTTTTTTGCTTTTAGATGCCGCCTTGGAACCCTCACAAATTTCCTGTCTTGGCATCAGTAGCCAACGTTGCACGTTTCTGACGTGGAATCACAAGACCCAAGAATATTTCCATAATTTTATTACCTGGAAAGATTTGCGTTCCGATACTTTGGTAGATGAATTCAATAATAGTGTGGCCATGAAAACGTTGAATAACTGTGCTTATGCCCTGTATTTGTTAACGCGTAGTAATCGTTTTCTAGCCGGTAGCGTTTTGAAGATGATGAACGGTCAGGTGACCTTGAGATTATTGTATGAAATACAAAACAATACTCGTCTGAAAGAGGCCCTTAAGCGTAAATGTGTGCGTGTCGAGTTGTTGGATTCATGGATTCTTTATAAGCTGAGATCGGGTAATGGCAAGAATCCACAAGTGGAACATATTTCGGATGTTACATCTTGTACGGCAACGGGCATGTTTGATCCATTTCAATTGCAGTGGTCACCGATGATGAAAATGTTGACGGGAATTGAGGTAAGTTGTGAATAAAAACTAAATTTATTTTCATAAATTACATATTTCTTTCAGGTATCCCTTTTACCAAAAATTGTCAATAATTCCTACAAAGATTATGGCTGCATAGATCCCGAAGATTTTGGGCCCGAATGGAAAAATTGCCGTATACCCATAACGAGTTCAATAAGTGATCAATGTGCTGCCATATTTGGGTCACAGTGTTTTAAAAAAGGCGATGTTAAAATTACAATGGGAACGGGGGCGTTTTTGGATCTGATAACTGGTGATAAATGTCATGCATCGTTGAAGGGTATGTACCCATTGGTGGCATGGCAATATGCCAAAGAAACCACCTTCTGTGTTGAGGGTGCGGCACATGATATGGGCACCATTATTGCATGGGGACAAAGTTGTGGTCTCTACGCAAATCCCAGTGAAACTGAGGCAATGGCCGAATCGGTAGAAGATACAAATGGGGTTTACTTTGTGCCGGCTTTCAGTGGTTTGGGGGTAAAAGTTTTAGTAGAGCGAGACTTTAATATATATCTAATTTTTTCTGATTTTCTGATTTGTTTCTCTAGGCCCCCATAAATGATCACAAGGCTGCCTCGGGATTTATTGGTATAACACCCTCAACGCAAAAAGAGCATTTGGTTAGGGCTCTGTTGGAAAGCATTGTTTTTCGTTTGGTCAAACTGGTGGAAACAGCCGAAGAGGAAACTAAACAGCAATTGAAAATTTTAAGGTAAAATAGACCGTTTCGTGGGATCATTGTTTAAAAAAAAATTAATTATTTTTTGCAGGGTCGATGGTGGTGTTTCACGGAACAATTTTGTTTGCCAATTTTTGGCCAATGCCACTGGCATTTGTGTGGAACGTGCACGCAATGCCGAAAGCAGCATAATGGGTGCCGCCTATGCAGCCGGTCTAAATAGCGGTTTGTGGAATTCATTCCAGGATCTTGCCCAATTTCGTGATGTGGATCGTTGTTTTGAACCCCAAGCACAAAAGTACAACGAAATACGTGATCGCTTGAATGTTTGGCTCAAGGCTGTAGAACGTTTCGGCAATTGGTATTAAATAGAAATTTGGGTAATAAGTTGATATTAAAATTGTGATTTTTATATAGAAAAAATTTTGACAAATTTTGTACCAAAGAAATTTTTTGTAATAAAAAAAGAGATTAAAATAGTTTGCAGTTTTGTTAATAATGATTTGAGTAAAATAACAAGGGAATATGAATATAATTCATTCTTTTATGGGATATTATGATATTTTTTAATAGTAATCAAAAGCCCAGAGGGGTTAAGGAGTCAACCTAATACGAGTAGCCTTTTGACAATAACACTTCTCAGCCTAACATTCTTTGTAGAACTTCGTACAGCTTTTGATCATTTCCGATGGATTCTATATCCAAATGTAAATCACATTAACGCTGGCCCTGGAGAGTCAAAATATTTTGAGATCCCTATCGCAATCACTGGATTTTCAATGATATTCTTATTCACTCCAAATTTACAAAAGGCAAATTTACTTACCGTTTCGATAATTTCACACAAAAACGAATAACCCAACGAGGCATGATAGGTTTTGTGGCGAGTTGACTGCAACAGGGTATTGGTAATTTGTTCCAAATGTTCTGGATTAACATCTGCCAAACGGCCGGAATGCAGAAGAGCACCAATAACTAGAATTTTTCCAACCACAGCATCAGCATCTTCCTTATTCACCACAGCAGATCCCACATGCAGTTCTTTGTTCATAATATCCAAAACTAGTTGCAGTGGTACCTCATCGGCGGAAAATGATTTCAAGACACCAACCAGACCTACATAGAAACCCGAACGTGAAGCATTGGTGGAGGAACCACAACCACGTATCAAACGTTTTAAACTGTATTGTAGTTCTTTTTGTTTCTGTAAGAAAATCCGTGGTTAAATTAGAAAATGTTAACACGAGGACAAAAAATGTTGCACATTTCTTGAGTTCATACCTTATCATCATCTTTGTTACGATTTAATTGTTGCAGCAGCTGTACGGCTGCCTCCAGACGGAGTTTCTCCTCATCGCTAGTTAAATCCTTAAAATATTTGAAAATATTTGTATCCAATGTTTTGATTGCTGCTTTAGTTTTTGCTGGTGGCGCCTCCAACTCGCCATCCTCATTGTTGGCAATTTCTTTGCTTAGTTTTTGTTTCTTTTTTGCTTTGAGGGCTGACGCTGTTTCTTCCTGTGTCTCATCGCCATTCTGTGGACGCTTTTCAGCTTTTTTATCCTTTTTAACTTTCATTTTATTTGATAAATTCATATAATTTTTTGTCCGCTGCACGTGTTGGATGGGTTTTTATTTAAGTCTTCTTCTTTTTTTAAACGACACTGTAATGCAAAATAAATGGTTAACTTAAAAATAAACACTATTGCGACGAAGTATACTTCATGGTGAATTGAATATATAAAAAATGAGCAGGGCTTTATAATACTTTATACTGAACCTTGGAGGCTTGAGTATTAAGAAGGTATTTAATAGAAAAAGAAAGGAAGAATTCAAATCACTAACGCATGTGGGTAATATAAAACACTACATTTTTATTTGCTTTGTTCGCGGGCTTTGGTGTGGCAAACGTAGTAAAGGCATAAAGAATTAAAATGAGATAATGAGAAAAATTTCAGATTTAAATAATAGTTCTTCAAAATTAAGCATATAAGACAAAATTATCTAATAGAAAGTTTTTGAATAAAAAGGCTTACTCAATTTTTTCTTATTATCTTTTTAATGTATTTGATCTTTGGGATTGGAAAACTAAAAAGATATTCATTCTTCTTGTTATCAATTCTCTATGACTGTAAGTTTTTTCTTTTTCAATTTCGCCATTATCATAAAATAAATACTTGATATGAAGTTTTTATCCCATTACCTTGAGATTAAATAACTGATCTGAAGTTTTCATCTCAACGGTAGTAATAATATTACGTAAAAATGTCAAAAAGGGTAAAGTTATTAAAATATTCACATAATTTCTGCCGGTGCTATCAATGTGTGTGAATGCCTTTATTTCTCTTGGACGACCACGGTATGAAGAAGCATGGTTTAATTTGATAACGATGCCGGCCGATATCTATGGACGGCGGTGATTTATTTAGTCCGGCGTGCTTTTATAAAATACAAATAAAATATCAACAGAAACAACACGTGGAGAAAAGATTAAATAAATCTGGAAATTATGAATAAAAACAAAAAATCCGCATTAAAAAGTAAGCCCGTGGAGGATGAAGTATCCGAAACACAAGCCGCGGAAAAAGTAGAAAAGAAAAATAAGGCTGGAAAAAAGAAAAACAAGGAGGCTGTTGAGAAGAAAAATAAGAAGGAAAAGATTGTGCATGCTGTGGAAAAGGAAACATCCGCAGCAACAACGACAACAAATCTCAGTGAAGCTGAATTGAAAAAGATCGAAAAGAAAAAAGCCAAAAAGTTGGCCCAGAAATTAAAGAAGGCCGAGAGGAAGGCTTCTGGCAAAACTAACGAAGCTACGACGCAAGGTACCAAACAAGAAGGCCAGCAGGACAAATTGTCAAAGAAAGCCAAAAAACGTAAACTAGAAAGCACAGAAACCAGTGAAACTGCTGAGGAAGGACAAAATAAGAAAAAGAAGAACAAGAAAAATAAACTAAAGAAAGCCAATGAGGAGCAAACCGAAGGTGAACAGAAGAAATCCGAGCCAACTCCTAAAGCTGGCGGAACAAAAGATGCCAGTGAGGTATCGGAACGTGTTCTGTTGAAAAAAGAAAAGAAATTAAAGAAACGCCAAGAATTGAAGGCACAAAAATTGGCAGAGAAAAAACCCCGAGATCCCGCCCAAGAGGATGCCACAGTTTTTGTGGGTAATCTGCCCGTTACCACAAAACGTGTGCAATTGATAAAACTTTTCAAAAAGTATGGACCTGTCAACTCAATACGTATGCGTACTGCAGCCGGACAGATTCTGTATAAGCACAAAATGCGTAAGGCTTCGGGAGCCCTAAATGCCTATGTGGTATTGCAAAGCAAGACGGCAGCTGAGAAGGCCTTGGAGCTAAATGGTACCGAATTCAAGGGTATGCATTTGCGTGTCACAAAATCCAGTCTCAAACACTCTGCCTCTGCCCAGGAATCTAAGGAGGAGGCTAAGCGTACGATTTTTGTGGGCAATCTCAAATACAGTAAGTGGCAATTTGAGTGGGGTAGAAAATTTTGTTAATTTGTTTTTTTTTTTCATTGCAGCCGCCACTGAAGAATCCCTGAGGGAAACATTTAGTAGCTGTGGAGAAATTGAATATGTCCGTTGTATACGTGAAGGCACTAAAGGTTGTAAGGGAGTGGCCTATGTCCGTTTCAAAACTGCCGATGCTGTGGGCTTGGCATTGGAATTGAATCAAACCCTCTTGGATGATCGCCCAATCAATGTTGAACGTTACAGTGTAAAGAAATTGGGTGCCAAAGAGCAACGTGATGCCCAGGCGGCTAAGGAGAAACAAAATCAGAACCCAAAGAACAAAGGAGACAAATCAAAGAAATTTAACAAATCCAAAGACTCTAAACCACAGCAAAATAAGTCTCAAGGCGATGAAGGCAAGAAATCCAAGAAAAGTGAATTCCGCGGTGTCAAAGTTGAGGCTCTGAAGAAAAAGAACAAACAGAAAAAGAAGAAGCCAAGTCAGGCCATGGATATTGCCAAGAAAATAGCACCCAGAACGAAAAGTGAAGAGTAAATAAAATGAGATTGGTTTTTTTTTAGGGAAAATATCAGTAATTCTTGAAGTAGTTGTGTTCTTTTTTAAGTTGACCTTTTTCTTAATGTATATCAACCACATATGGAGAGTGGTTTATTTTAATTAATGTTTCTCCCTGACTGTATTTAACGCAATTTTTTATATTATATTAATATATATGGTAATAAAAGATAAATTGTTAAACAATCTAGAAATTCATGTTGGTATTGTATAAAAATGTCGCAGATTAGTCCTGATTTTTTTCAGTGCATTCGGTCCAATCGTGACATTCGACAGAAAATTGTAGTTAACAATTCATATGGTGCCCCCATATAATGTTAAAGGGCAAAGAAAACTATATTCCATTGCTTAATGCACCATTGCAAGTTGTTTCTTTAGTTTGACTTGAATATCCATGGGAAATGTATTCGCCAATATCTTTGTACACGTCAGACAATAGGTGTTTTTAAAATAAAAACTACATGTAGTATCCTTACACACCATTTCATTGCATCGTATACAATGGGCTCCTATTGCTATAAAATACTCCGGTTTTGATTTCCACTTAGGTATGGGCGGTTGAAAGGGATCACGCATAATGTAGGTGGCTTCACAAAATTCAAGTCCATAAACAAATGGTGGATCCCGGCCAAAGTAGTGTACCCTTTCATGGAGACCACACAATTTGCAATGGAATGTTACACGTTCATCATCGGTGGTGGATTCCTTGGTTTCGTCTTTACTTTTTGTCGTATCCTCTGCATCTTTTGTTTTACCTACTCCTGGATTATTTTCGGCGACAATTGTAGCTGGTGGAATTTCTTGATTATATCTGGGCATATTATTGGAAATCAAGTTAGTAATGGGGGTTTTTCAAGATGCTTTTTGAGATAGTACCGCCATGGCCAATTGTGAGGAAAACAAACTAAAAAACGTCCCAAAAGAAAAAAATACAAAGCCGAAAGATTCATTTAAATGAACCGAGGAACTAGTTGCGAAATTTTCAGTAAAATCAAGAGTTCAAAGTATTGCACACATTTTTTTTCAAATGTTCCTCTCTTAAAAACGCGTGATGTTTTAAGCTATCATATATTCGGGTATATAAGTCACATACCAGACAATGGATTCTTGTTTCTTTTATAAAGGAAATATTTTTCATTGCATATTTTCAGTCCCAGGTCAGATAAGAAGACTGACTGTTGGCGACAATTTGACAATAAAATTAGTACAGGGTGAGATAAAAAACTGCAACAAAGTCAAACGCCATAATTTTTACATTTTTTTTTAATTTTATTGAATGAAAGCAAAAAATGTCAAATTTGAGAATAAGTTTAGATTTGTTCGAATTGGCCAGCTTTAGCACGAATTATGGTCTTCAAACGGCCAATGAAACCATCACACGCTCCCCGAATGTTGCTCTGCGGTATTTCCGAACTTTCAGATTTTTTATTTGTTTTCTTTTGAAAAATTTTTCTATAGCTCTCAAAACAATCGCTCCCCGAATGTTGCTCTGCGGTATTTCCGAACTTTCAGATTTTTTATTTGTTTTCTTTTGAAAAACTTTTCTATAGCTCTCAAAAAATCACCCCTTAATTCTACCATTACCTGCCAGTATGCGTTTTAATATATACCAGGAGTTGATGTGTGTCCAGCCAGTTATGTGAATATGACTAGGCTCAATATCAAAGTTCGCTCATCCATCACCTAACGCCGACAAAAATTAAATCAAACACCCTTGGATGTCATTTTGTTGTTCTTCTTTGTCATTTTCATTCGTATGAGTTACAATAGTGTTGCGAAGTGAAGTGAAAAGTTCTTATTGTCAAGATAATTGAGAAAATTTAATCAATTTTCATGGAAAATTGTTGGAAATTGTTTATTACTTGTTAAAATAGACGTTTTTCTCCTCGGAAAGAGGGAAAAGAATATTGCAATGTTGGTCGAACAAGGAAAGAGGAAAAAAATTAAACGACATCATTGACAAAAGCAAACAAAAAAAAGGGCAAAGTCAGCAAAGCAAAGCAACGACAACGATAAGCGAAAGAAAATTGAGAAAACCTTTTAAAACAAAGAAGATAAAGAACAAAACAAAAGTTGGAAAAATTAATCAAAATAATCGAGTAGCTGTTCTGTTCGTTGAGATACAAACGGCAGTTCATTGAATATTATTAAAATATTTAATTATTCGGTTTTCTTTGATATGTGTGATCTGTGGTGTGAATGCTAACTCTCTGCCGTCTGTCTGCCTCTGGCCAACAAGCCACTTGGGCCAAACCAATCTTGGCCAGCAGTAGTAGTAGTAGAAGCAGACCAAACGAAGCAAAACAACAGCAAACAAAAGATAACTATGGCAGTAGAGAAAATAAAAATCAACGAAAACAGAATCACAAATAAATAATAACAACAACAAGAGAAGAAAACAAAATTCTTTGTTTAATACACAAAAACCAAAACCAAAAAAAAAAATATTTTAATTCCGCCGCAGAGCGTCGCGAAAAATATTATCTTGTGTGTAAACGAAAAAAGGAAGAAGAAAAGAAATTGAATTGCAAACAAAACAACATTTTCGGTTGTTGAAAGAATTTGTTACCATCTGATTTGGAAAAAATTGCATACTTATTTTAACAAATTTTTCCATCGATTACTTCACAAAGATTTGTCATCACCAGCGCCTGCCAGTGCAGCCAAAAAACAGAACGAAGAAGACGAAAATTATTTGCAACTGCAAAGTTTAGAAGTGTTAGGTAAGTAGTTCCTGATGATCATATATTATCTGAGGAGGGGTTGGGGGTCTGCTCCAATGTTTATCTAGCATATGTATATAGTATAATTTGTTTTTGTAATAATTATTGTCCTTGCAAATGTCACTTGGTTGTGACAATGTTGGATATTTTTTTTTGCATTTTTCTTATTTCCTCTTTACCAGCTTGTTTTTTTTTGCCATATTTTCTTTATATTCAATCTTGCTTTTCATGTCTTTGGCGTTTTTTCTTGGCTGGACTTTGTACTTCTCTTGGCTCTGATGCCGGTTTGGTTTTCACTCCGCTAATGGCTGGCTAGGCTTGCCATATAAGTACACAAATGCAGCCGATATCCAACCTAAACATAGTTTTGTATTGAATAAGCCTTGGTTTAATGACTGGAAATAGTCTAAGCTTTCGTGGAAGCTTGAATTTGGATGCGTCTTATTTGGATATCGCTTGCTAGACACGATTGGGGACCAGGAAATAGATTTGGTTTTCTCAAATCGTTTATATTCCGGTATGGGAATCTAATTGTAAAGTTTTTGCTCCTAAACTTCTAAATATTTGAAAATTTTAAATAAAATTCAAGGCGAAAATTGCTGCTACAGAAGGTGTCCGGGGAAATGTGCTTTTTGCAGAAGACGAATATGCAATCCATGTCCAGTCTGACCACACAAAACGTGGATTTTTTAAACAACTAATTTCCAAGCGGTCAAGCATCTACAGAAGGTGGATCTTTAGGAAAAGATTTTTTTTCAAGAATCTATAGAACGTGGATCTTTAAGAAATGGGAGCTCTACTAAATATGCATAATGGTTTAGGGTATCATATAGTGGGTCCCACCTGCCTTATGACTTTTCCTTACTGGTTTTCTTATCACGAATGTAATTTGACCGCAAATTGTGATAGTAATTCGTTTATCAACAATTTTCCCACAACTCTTTTTTAATTATAGATATTTTATGTGGCTATTTGTTTTACAAAAATTTTTCTTACACTTGCGGTTTTTCATTCTACTACTCCTGATGTTCTTCAGAAATTTAATGGGGTAAATTGCGATTGGGATTTTTATAACCTCAGTCATATGGCTACAGAGGGTATATATCATTTGATACGGCCAAAACGTGTCCCATCGAAATAATGGTTTTAGACCGTTTCAGGACATTTGGAGTCAATCTAGCGTTGTCCGTCCGTCCGCCCGTCTATCTGGCTGGTGCGCACGATAACTCTCGAAGGGATTTGATCCAAAGTTGTTACATCGTAATATTATTGTCAAACTTAGATCGAGTTCGAAGATGGACAATATCGGTTCACACCTTCTGGTACCTCCCACAAAAAAGGTTAACATTTACAAAGAAAATAATTTACTTCACAGAAAGAAAAAGGATATTCCGAATTTGCTCCACCTTTGCAAATCCTAATATTTGCATTAGTGCTACGTCAGGTGCGAAAATGGATAATATCGGTCGACACCTTCTGGTACCTCATTCCCAAAAGCTCAAAATTTGGAATAACTACAACTCTTATAAAATGTGATGTAAGTGTCCGATTGTCTTCAAAATTACACACATCACAATGTTTTTATTAACCCAAGGTCCGATGGGAAGATAGAATATATCGGTCAACTCCTTCTGGTACCTCCCCCACAAAGAGTCAAAATTTTGAATATTCATGATGCTCATAAAACGCGAAATTAACATCCGATTCCATTTAGACTTGGCACATCTCAATATTTTCATCAACACAAGATCTGTTATAAAGATGGTAGAGATCGGAACATAACTTCTGGTACCTCCCCTACAAAGGGTAAAAATTTTTAATAACTGGAATTATCATAAAATCCGAAATAAGCATCGGATTCTCTTCAAATTTCACACATCACAATGTTTTTATTAACTCAAGGTCCGGTGTCAAAATGGGATATATCGGTCCACTTCTTCTGGTACCTCCCCCACAAAGGGTCAAAGTTTTGAATATTCATGAAGCTCATAAAACACGAAATTTACATCCGATTCCATTTAGACTTGGCACTTCTCAATATTTCCATCAGCGCAAGATCTCTTATAAAGATGGTATAGATCGGACCATTTCTTCTTGTACCTCCCCCACAAAGGGTAAAAATTTTTAATAACTGAAATGATCATAAAATCCGATGTAAGCATCCGGTTCTCTTCAAATTACACATATCACAATATTTTTATTAACCCAAGGTCTGGTGTGAGGATGAAATGTATCGGTCCACTCCTTCTGGTACCTCCCTCACAAAGGGATCAACATTTTGAATATCCATGAAGCTCATAAAACACGAAATTTACATCCGATTCCATTTTGACTTGGCACTTCTCAATATTTCCATCAGCGCAAGATCTCTTATAACGATGGTATAGATCGGACCATTTCTTCTTGTACCTCCCCCACAAAGAGTCAAAATTTTGAATATCCATGAAGCTCTTAAAACGCGCAATTAACTTCCGATTCCATTCAGACTTGGCACATCTCAATATTTCCATTAACGCAAGATTCGTTTAAAAGATGGAAGAGATCAGACCATTCCTTTTGATACCTCCCCCACAAAGGGTTAAAATTTTGAATAACCAAAACGATCATAAAATCCGAAATAAGCATCCGATTCTCTTAAAATTACACACATCACAATGTTTTTATTAACCCAAGGTCCGGTGTGAGGATGGAATATATCGATCCACTCCTTCTGGTACCTCCCCACAAAGGGTCAACATTTTGAATATTTATGCAGCTCATAAAACACGAAATTTACATCTGATTCTATTCAGACTTGGCTCATCTGAATATTTCCATCAACGCAAGGTGTGTTATAAAGATGGTATAGATCGGACCATTTCTTCTTGTACCTCCCCCACAAAGGGTCCAAAATTATGAATATCCATGAAGCTCATAAAACGCAAAATTAACATCCGATTCCATTCAGACTTGGTACATCTTAATATTTCCATCAACACAAGATCTATTATAAAGATGGTAGAGATCGGACCATTTCTTCTGGTAGCTTCCCCACAAAGGGTAAAAATTTTGAGTAACCAAAATGATCATTAAATACGAAATAAGTATTCGATTCTCTTTAAATTACACATATCACAATGTTTTTATTAAACCAAGGTCCGGTGTGAGGATGGAATGTATCGATCCACTCCTTCTGGTACCTCCCTCACAAAGGGATCAACAGTTTTGAATATCCATGAAGCTCATAAAAACGAAATTAACATCCGATTCCATTTAGACTTGGCACTCCTCAATATTTCCATCAGCACAAGATTCGTTATAAATATGGTAGAGATCGGACCATTTCTTTTCATACCTCCCCCACAAAGGTTCAAAATTTTGAATAAGCAAAATGATCATAAAATCCGAAATAAGCATCCGATTCTCTTCAAATTACACTCATCACAATTTTTTTATTAACCCAAGGTCCGGTGTGAAAATGGGATATATCGGTCCATTACTTCTGATACCTCCCCCACAAAGGGTCACAATTTTGAATATTCATGAAGCTCATAAAACACGAAATTTACATCGGATTCCATTTGGACATGGAACTTCTCAATATTTTCATCAACGCAAGATTTGTTATAGAGATGGTAGAGATCGGACCATAACTTCTGGTACCTCCACCACAAAGGGTGAAAATTTTTAATAACTGAAATTATCACAAAATACAAAATAAGCATCCGATTCTCTTCAAATTACACACATCGCTATATTTTTATAAACCCAAGGTCCCATGTGAAGATGGAATATATGGGTCCACTCCTTCTGGTACCTCCCCCACAAAGGGTCAACATTTTGAATATTTATGAAGCTCATAAAACACGAAATTTACATTCGATTCCATTCAAACTTGGCACATCTGAATATTTCCATCAACGCAAGGTCTGTTATAAAGATGGTAGAGATCGGACCATTCCGATTTACTATTCCGACTTACTATTGTTATTGATATTAGAAACAATTTGTTCTTTTTTTAGCATCCCATTACAAATCCCACAATTATGTGTAATATTCTATATTAAATATATAATTTATTTTTTAATTTTTTTTTTAATCTCTACACACATATAAACAACAGACACATCATTTGTTTACTATTTTTTTTCTTCTTTCGCCTTCTGCTGCTGATGATTTTGATGACGATGAGATGAGATGAGATTTGCTTCTATTCGCTTTGCTTCTATTCGCTTTGCTTGCTGACTAGCTGGCTGGCTGGCAAATGCTGTTATGAAAAAACAGAAAAAAACAAAACAATTTTGAAAATTTGCATTGTCATTTTGCACCCTCTCTGAATCTTTCTTGCTTTTCTTTTTTTTTTTTCAATATTTTTTTGCCACATCTTTGTTTTGCTATTTTTCTTTGAGTTCTATACTAGTTGTTGTTTTATTTTCATTTGTGTTTTCAATATTTTGTTTTGTTGATAGATAGTCAATTTTATTGTTTATACTCCAATGGATGGCCAATGGATTTCTAAGCGATATTGAAATGAAGAAAAAAAAAAACAAAGGGTGCCGAAATGAATAATTTTAATAATATAACCCAATGAGGAACCGATCGAATGCTGTGAAATAGTTAAGGAAAAAAAAAAACACGAAATTTACATACTCTCCTCCACGAAATACAGGGTGAGATAAAAAATTGCAAAAAAGTCAAACGCCCTAAATTTTTCTAAACTAAGATTTTTTAGATTTTTTTTTTAAATTCTATTGAATGAAAACAAAAAATGTTAGAAATAGCATCAAATTTTGGGAATAAGTTTAGATTTGTTCGAATTCGTCACCTTTGGCACGAATTATGGCCTTCAAACGGCCAATGAAACCGTCACACGCTCCCTGCCCGAATGTTGCTCTGCGGTATTTTGGCCCATTCCCGGTGAAGCGCTTGCTTGAGGTGATCGACACTTTGGTATTTTTTTAGTGGCAAGAATTATGGCCTTCAAACGGCCAATGAAACCGTTACACGCTGCCCTAATGTTG